ATCTCAGTTCAAAAACATAGTTGCACCTTTGGCAAGAACAGTTTCCCTTGATTGCCGTTTTCTTGGCCACAATAGTAGCGATGGTTGATTGGGGTTTTGTGTACAGCCTGGCCAGCTCGGAGACATGCACTCCACTTTCATACTTAGCAATGGTCTCTTTCTTTTCATATCCATAGTAATTCTCACCCTTTTTGCTGTAGTGTTGGCACTAGAAGCTTTCTTGGGGCCCATGGTGACTTATTTTGCAGGTGCAATCACTAAAAAGGCTGTGATAATATGAAATGTTCCGATTGTATGCTTGGAAGCGACCGCGGTGGCTGGCTGGCTTGTAAACACTGGCCAGAAGTGGACGCGTCTCAGACTGAAGGAATAGTGTTGGTCGAGTTTTTTTAGCGCTAATCGAGGCAAAAATTTTGCGATAAAATGTATCGCTAGTCAGATTTATCGTTAATCGATGCCATCGCTGGTCAAGGGTCCACTGTATTATCAACTGTTTTTGGAAATAAAATTAATTATCTTTTTAATAAGCATCAAGCAGCTCCATTGCTGCTACTGCTTCTAATGTATTTACAGTAATATAAAGGTCTAGTCCTGTTATGTTCTCACTCTTGTTCTTTGGCATTACATAACTCATGCGTGTATTTGCTTTTTCGTGTATCAGGAATGTTGCAGAAGTAGCGCGAGAAGCTTGGATAGAAACTCTTGATCCTAGTGGAGAAAATCTTCACGTGGGCCTCATTCATTTACATCCCAAAGTGTTTGCTACCTACCCAAGGCTAGATATCATCCATGAAAATGTAGTCTGGCAGCAGAAGTATCGCATGGTGGTAAGTTTATATAATTCATGAACCCTGGCATTTAAAATAGGCTTGTTATCACATTAGATAGAAGTGAGTGATTTTTTTTTTTTTGTGCTGTTGAAGTGTCAGCAAAGTAACACTTAAAAAAAGGATTAATGGAAACAGGTTAGCTGGACTTGAGTTCTGGAGGTGGGCAGTACAGTTCCTGCAATCTGAGAAAGAATGAGGGTGTTGCAGTGTGGAGGATCATCTGAACTGTGATGTTAACATATGTTCAGGAAAACAGTGATTGAGTGAATTGGTTTAAAAGGTGTTTCCTCTTTTTGGGTCACCTTATCTTAGTGGGAATGGCCAGTGTGTTAAAAAAATAAACCAGTGTCAATATCCATGGTCCACAACTATTCACCCTGCTATGGGCTGATATAACAAATGTTGCCAGAACAAAGGTAGGCAGTTGCAAGTGGAAATTAGACTTCTACCTTCAAGTGCCTGATCAACCAAGCTGTAATAGCTATGTAGGACTGCAGATTCACTAGGATCAACAAGCTTCTTGACAAAGTAATCAAGAAAGTCTGACCTCAAGCCAGGCTACAGGGGTAGAAGAATCCTTAAAACTGGGAACTGGGGCTCAGAGTGTTTCTAGTCTTACAGCAAATGTAGTCTTACAAACAAATGTAGTATATTTCATGTGTTTATAGATATTTGTATACAGTATTTATGCAGCAGGGGTGTTGACCCCTGAAACCATCTCCAGGTATACTTTACCTAGTATTAACTAATAAAATTCAGTGCACAGTACTTAGTCAATTTACGCAAGGTACTCCTTTCAGAATACTTCACATACCAAACTGCGTCAGAGGTTCGAGGAGGGGGTAGGAAACCATGGCCACAAAAGGGAACAGGACGAGCAAGACATGGTTCCATTCGGTGAGTATGAAGTGATATTTAAAGGCTTTCTAACACATTAAGTGGTGTACATTGCTTTTTTTTTTAGTTCTTTTCCTGTAAATAATGTAGACATTTGCAACTAACAAAATATAAAAATTATCTTCACCCTTCTTAAGCAGTACAGTAAGACAGAATTGTTTTGAGTAGGTTTAAGTTAACACTTTCAAGCTCAGTTGTTACATCAGTGATGGTTAGTATTCATTAGTTAATAAGTGTTGACTCTGTTGACTTACACATTTGAATTTACAAGCTAGCCCTATCCAAGGTATACTACCACCCCTCAGGATGTGACCCAGATTAGCTGGCTAACACCTAAGTACTTGTTTGCTGCTAGGTGATCATGCACAGTGTCCACCACCATACCAGGGTCAAGTCTGGGTCCTTTGGTTGTTAGTCAAAACGTGGTACCACTGTGAAATATGTGACTGAAATTTCTTAGTGATGTACAGTGCTCCTGCAAATTCACAGTGGGTTACATTCCTGCAGGTCCCAGTGAATATAACACTGGTGTAGACTTCTCAATTCTGTACATACAGTTAATATATTTTTTTTAAATTGGGTTCATTTTGTCTTTTAGAAGTTTGTATATTTAAATATTGTACTAATTTCACTAATACAGTGAAATTAGTGCCCCAACATACGAGTTTTTCGAATTACGAGCTGTCGCTCGGTCGATTTTTTGCTCTGAGTTACGAGCCAGAATCCGAGTTACAAGCGACCTTCAAAACACCGCCACTAGTTGGCACAGCGAAAACCACAACATCCGCTCAGCAGTGCACATGTTTACCTCGCCATGGAAGCATTTCTCTTGTGTTGTGCTTGCGGTTTGCACAGTTATTTGGCCAAATTTCTTTTTTCTAACCATGGTCCTAAGAAAGTAAGTTCAAAGGACAGTGTTGAGAAGAAAAAGAGGATGATGTCCATTTAATTAAAGAATGAAATCATAGATAAACATAAGCAAGGTGTGCCCACTCTCCATCTCCGCCAGCATCTGTTCTCCAAGGAAAATACTACTTACACTTTATAAAACCAGTTTATTTCTTTACATTCTCTATTATGTTTTATTATGTTTTTATACAATATTTCTTATTTATAAATACATTGTTTCAGTGTTTTCTTTATGAAACTAGTGATCTAGTGCAGTTAGCCTCACAAACACTGTTTTCAGAAGGGAAAGAATGGGAAAATATGTTCAGAGCAGGAGTGGCTGCTACCACTCATCACATAATGACATATTTTATCCATATTAGAGTATATATCATGTTTCTATGTTATTTATATTGTTTATTATGTCATATTAGATCAATTTTGATAGACAAATAAACCGTAGAGCTGATATTACTATTATATTGAAGTATTTTCTCGTGCCTCCCGAGAGCCGGAATTCCACTGGAATGGATTAATGGCATTTCAGTTAATTTCAATGAGGAAAGTTGATTTGATATATGAGCAAATTGAGTTATGAGCTAGGTCACAGAACAGATTAAACTCATAAGTCAAGGTACCACTGTACTGACTTTCCTAAGAATGAGTATCCACACACAAAAAAATATGGGTGTAGGAAAATCCAGTGAGCACATTTTGAATGAACTCACAGGTTGGTTTACCTTGTAAATGTCATTCATCAGGTCATGTGCTAAGCCTGAATAAAATAAGCACCTCAAATAACTAAAAAAGTATTCAAAATTTTTTGTGGGAGACTCATTTAAAGTATACTAAGGGTATCGTAAATTTGCATGGAGCACTCTACGGAGACTTCAAGTGGGGTGTCAAATTACTTGAATTTTTTTTTTTTTCAGTTCGCCATTGTGGAAAGGTGGGGGTGTGGTACATGGCCCAAGAGCATTCACCACGCAGTTCTACATGTTGTCATTTGAAAAAGAATAATGGGCCTTACCTCCACTTTATCAGCTAAATTTGCACAGGTGATGCTCTGTATAAGAACTTTGCATTAGTTTGAGTGCATGGATTAGCTGAATTTTCTTCATCATTTGTATACTGTAATGCAAAGTTTTTTTTTTAACACAGCCATCTCCCACCAAGGTAGGGTGGCCCAAAAAAAACGAAAACACTGTCACCATTATTCACACATAATCACTGTCTTTGCAGAGGCACTCGGATATGACAGTTCAGATGTCACTCCAAACAGCAAATATCCCAGATTTTTTTTTTTTTTTTTTTTCTCCCAACAAGTCTGCCGTTTCCCACCGAGGCAGGGTGACCCAAAAAAGAAAGAAAATCCCAAAAAGAAAATACTTTTATCATCACTCAACACTTTCACCACACTCACACATTATCACTGTTTTTGCAGAGGTGCTCAGAATACAACAGTTTAGAAGCATATACGTATAAAGATACACAACATAACCCTCCAAACTGCCAATATCCCAGATCCCTCCTTTAAATTGCAGGCATTGTACTTCCAGCTAACCAGTTTCCCAGAATCCCTTCACAAAATATTACCCTGCTCACACTCCAACAGCTCATCAAGTCCCAAAAATCATTTGCTCACACATGCCTGCTGTATGTCCATACTCCTTTCACACAAAACCTCTTTTAACCCCCTCCCTCTATCCTTTCGTACTTAATTCTGTCAATATCTCTTATTTATTATTTCGTACATTACTAGCCACTCAAGGGAGGTTCCTTGATGCTGATGAAATGCTCATGATCCAAAGAATTGGATCTGACTTCCTTTTTACTGAATTGAACCTGATTGCTTCCAGGCACTGTATGACCTCTATGGGTTTAGAACTTCCCTATTCATGTAACAATATTCATTACTAGTTTCCTACAGATTGTGATCTGATGGACAACAATCGCCTTGGTAGTACGTACTACTGTCCTGTCATGAAAATGAATGTAAGCTAGTTAAAAGATTTGCTCTATGACAGAATTAGTGTTATCTTTCTGTCTCATTAACATGTAAGATGACAGGTTTATATCTTACAAAATTTGTTTACATTTAGTATATGGTTAGCTTCAGAGTCGTATACATTTCTTAAGGGATCTTATTCCAAAAATATTTCCATTGCCATTTAGGATGCTTGGTCTGAGACTGGGCTGCAGGGATGATCGCCAAAAACATTAACTGATGGGTGATAGAATATTAAAAGTCATTTGTTCAATTTTATGCTGAAACTGAATCAGTGGAGTCTATAATAAAATACCCTTCAAGGGGTCTATGTTGATATAATGAAGGGCTCAAATTACAAAAAGTTTGAGCCACCTTCCCTTTCCTCTGATCAAACCTGATGACAGGACCT